AAGATCCAGGTGAGGCTTTTACTACCACTTCTGTTGGTGGATATCAGGAACATATTTAATAATGAATAATAAATTAAGAATTTTAATACAGCTGCTATCTTGTATGTCCAGCTGTCTTAACAGTAATCCTGCAAATTTTTATTCCTGTGGGGTAGGACCAGTGCCTAGGTATGAATTTCTAATCACGTAAATGAGACTTGTCGCATGCAAAAACCTGCAGGATTACGGTTGAAGCTCTTAATATGTTGCATCTGAATACTAACAAGATTGCCTTCTGCAGTTACTTATGCTTGGTTTTCCAGGGCTCACCAAGGCAGCAAATTACACACACCAGCAATTCCTCCACTTTTTCCTTTTCCCCTTACTATTCCTTATGCAAACTTTCTTCTTGTCTCAGCAAGATTGATCGATTGTTGTCATATGGAGGGATATTTCCAGGAGATCTCTGTGATCCCCATTACTGTTTATTTGTGCTCCTGGAGCCTTTCAAAAGCATACTTTCTGAAGAAGAATTTTTACTTAGAATTAAGGATTTTTGGTTTCATGAAAAGAAAGAACAGTTTCAATTGTGACATGACAGACTCAAGGTAATGAATTAATGATTTTTCCCTTTAGAGTTGAAAAATATGAAGAATCCCACGCAGTGCCAGATTGAGTCTTGTAACATAAATGGGCTTATTATCTGTACTGAATTTCCTCCTTTCCTGATGTAATGGAAAGGGAACAAACTTTTTGGCCCACTACTTGCTTTATTCTGTGGAATGTCAGTAACTCTGCTCAAGTTAAGGTCCTCTGTGAGACTGTAGTAATGTCTTGATCCCTTCAACATCTTCCTATTGGACATTCCCAGGTTGTCTTTTTATTTATTTATTTATTTATTTAAATTAATATTTTGCTATTTCGTAGTTGCAGCCTCCTGTGTCCCAGCTTGAAGGAGCAGAAGCAAATAGCAGTCCTCCAGCTTTATCATACCTCATAGCCTCTTCCTCATGTCCTGGATGTTCTAGATAATGCTGTTTCTTCTCTGTATTTAAGTTAGAAGAAGCACTGAACATGACCATGGCCTATTGGAGAAAGATGCTTTCGACTGGGTGCTGTTTGTTCTGGTATCTGAATGATATTTAAGAGCTGTTTGCTGCCCACTTGGTGAGAAGTCATTCCTGTCTGGTTCTTCCCTGAGCTCTCATTCAAGTGGGATTGCTGCTGTGGGTTTCATCTTTGGATCTATTTTCTTTTCTGTGCTTGAAATGGTGTTCTCAGGGTGCAAGAAATAAATTGGCTTCATGAAGTGGGAGTTGCACTGTAAATTTCAGTAATTAATCTTCTGGAAATTTTTGCCTACTAAAGGATAAAAATGTTGCCCCCAGAAGTCTACCACTGACTTCTTTGGATGTCTTCTGGAAGAAGTCCAGGCTTTGATCCTTTTATTCTTGGAGAATGACAGAGAGCTTGATCAAGATAAATAGTATAGTACTACAAGATCAGCAAGATGAATTTGAGTTTGCTGTATACTACCTTTTCCAACCACTGCTTAACCAACACAACAGGGAGTAGTCCATGATATTTTATGAATTTTCTGAAGGGCACAGGGGTGGTGATTAATTAACCCGTTGTGAGTGTATGTAATGGCCTCAAGCACAAACAAAATTGCAGTTGTTTAGGATAATGCAGCTAATGCAATCTTTACTGTGCAGACCATACTCACTGCCAGAGGGGAAGGAAGAGGAGAAAACATATCACTGCCAGAGCATGGTGAACCTTGCATGGACCTAGAGTGGAAAGCAGCTTCCTTTCAGACCTTTTTTTGTTTTTGTATCTTTGAGAACTATTTTTTGTGTTCTTCTGCTTTTTAAATTGCTTTTCTTTTTTTTTTCTTGTATGCTAGATTACTTAGGAAGCACCCTACTGGTTAGATGTGTGCCAGATAAGGATTCAGTTGTGTTTTAGCTCTCTCTCATGAAAGATTAGTGTGAGCAGATGGCTGGATAGCTTAGTCTTGTAATGTTTTTCAGGAGCTTAGAATGGAGGTAATAAATTGGAAGAGGTCCAGGACATCTTGTGACAGAGAAGCAGCAGAATGGACAAAGGAATTTAGAATACCTGCCCAGAGCAAATGAAAAAAAACACAGGGGTAACAAATGGGTTTTGGTGAGGTTGGCTAAAATTATGAGACTACAGATGACTGTAGAGAAAGTAAGATCAATGGAGTACTATGGAGAACTGAAGTAGCAATCATAATAACACCACTACAAAAGGCATTGATGTATTTCCATGTAACAAACTCCTTGTAAGCAATATTTTTTGTCTTAAAATGAATATTGTCTCTTAATACATAAATATAGGATGTATGCGACAAGTTGAAAGAGAAAATGATTTTGACAAAGTTCTCTACCTTATGAAATTATTTGCAAAGTTGAAAAAGCATTAATATCACTAGCACATGCCATTCCAAATAAAGCTGGTATGTAAAACAGAGGAAGGCTAGAGGATGGGCTTTTGGTTGGTGTGTATGACTGTGACCCAGGATTTTGGTGTTTTTTCTGTTTTACTTGTTTTACTGTGAGGCTGGTAACTTTCTTACCCTCCCCATGCTTTTGTTTATCGCCCTTGACGTAATAAAAAGAAGTCATGCTTTAAAAAAAAAAACAGCAAGAAATTACTAGGTGTGCATTCTCACTCACAGTATTTCTATTTTGTGAACTTCTTTTCTCGTTGGAAATAGATCTTGAAATAGTTTTCTTCAGGAAAATTGTTTTATTAATTTAAAGATCCTTAAAATCAGAATACTTGAAGTTCTGTGTTTTCTATCTCGTGATCTTTCAGAGTATTGTATACTTGCATCTTTAATCTCTTAAGTTAATGGTCATAGCTTTCTGTGCATTAGTTCTAAACTGCTGCTGCAGAAATCAGCATTTCTTTACTAGCTTGACACAGCAGTTGTGTTTATTTTGAGCAACTTACTTCTGCATCTGTTTGTGATATGGAGTGAAATAATTTTTTCTCAGGAATGCTGCCTTCAAGCCTCCTTTGCTGGTGAGAAATGTTAAGTATTACAGGGACAGAAAATGGGAAGACCAATAAGTAATGTAAAAAGTTGTTCATTTCCCGTTTTCTACACGTAGGCAACCAGTAATTATACATGAGACATCAATTTAACATCAGAGAATTTTACAAAGACTTGTTCAAATAAGCTTTGCTTGAGATTTTATTCAGGTACATGGTGTTTGAAATAACTGTACTTGGGTGGGGATTGACTGAAGGCTGGTGATACAGAAGCCTCCAGAAGAGGCTGTACACAGACCATAGAATCCAGATCTATGTGGCTGAAGAATAGTAATGATTCAGATCTAAACTACAGAGAATCAAAAAATATTCTTCTCTCATCTCCTTTCACTTACCTGGGTTTTGGTAAAGAGAGAAACAACCATCAAATCTCAAGGCAGCACTTTCTGGAAAGCGTTAATCAGCTCTGGATACTTTTGAATTTAATTATATTTTAAAACCAACCACCTTTTCCCACCGCTATTTCCACATAAACAAAGATGATCTCTCTCTCTCTCCTTGCTTGCTTGGCAAGCATGAGAATTGATCAAGTATGGAGGTCATCTCTTGAGGACAGTAACAACAGAACTTAAGATGTTTCTCCCATCTATATGATTTTTCTCCTGCCAGTAAGAGGAATTGAAATTGTGAGAAGGAAGTTAAGAAAAAGAGGCAAGTCTGCATTTCCTTGCTGATTCCAAACATTGACAATCAGCAAGTGTTGGAAAAGAAGCACCTGAGCTGAGGGATGACCTAGAAAGATTTAGAAGGATGTGGGGAACAAATTATGATGTGTTTCTTCCTTCCCTCTGCCCCAATTTTCAAACAAGGTGAAATACTTGTTCGAAACGCTGTGATGAGGCACCTGGTAAATGCTTCTAAATGAGCAAATATTTATTTCTATTTAGAAAACAGCTGGGAGTATATTAAATCTGTGTTCCCTCCTCAATATGAAAACCTATATAGTTTTAGTAGTGTTTTTCTTAATTTTTATGCACGTTACAGCACTTGGATCATGTATTTTATTATGATAAAACATTAAAATAGGATTGTAACTAAGCTTGAAGCATCCATATATGTGGTAAACCTCCACATAAACCGAAAAGCAATCCGTCTTTAGTGTAGCTTCATCATTCCTTATTAACGCTATAAATGAGGAATGTGAGTTTCTCTCTTGTACAACATGTAGTAAAATACTTAATGGATTGTGAATGTCATGTTGTAAAACTTGGCATTAGATACCGCGATTTATATTCAAATGCATCTCAGACAAATAAATGCTCTATAAATAGAAATCTATCTGTATTCAGAGTACATATAACTGCCTATTTGGGTGTAGCAGTTTGGATGATGAAATTGGTAGATAATTTATTTCTCCAGAAACACATGTTTGTTATATTCTGAAGGGAACTCCCCTGAATAAACACCTTTAAACAGGGAAGGAGTTTTATGCAAACCAGAGGCGTTGTCTGTATTCCTAGTAGGATTCTGTTAACCTTCAAACATAATTTCAGAAGCACCAAACTGGAATGAGTGCTGGTAACAAGTTAATACAATTGTCCTGGAGAACAGGATGCCTGAGGCTGCCAGGCATTGCATGCTTACCCAAAACAGCCAACAACTCAGTGCATTTCTCTTTGCAGCATCATTTCCACAGCAGCTTACAACCAAGGTAGCACCTATTGCCAGAACTGCCACTATTAGCCATGTTTTCTCCCCACAGAAAGTAAATATAATTCAGTGATGGCATAGCTGGAAGTATGAAGTTTTAATGAAGAAGTAAAAAATAAATAAATAAAAAATCAGACAAAGAGCAAGCAGTTCCATAAATCTTTGTGAAAGCTGATGATCAGCATTTTAAACTGTGCACTCAGCCATGAAATAAGAACCAAAGGATCTAAAGAGCAAGTTCGGATTAAAGTGGCCTTGTATGTTGTTTCCAGCACTCAGAGGAACGAGGCAGGACTTGGAAGAAGGCCATTCATTCTGTTGACTCCAGATCCTTCCCTTCAGGAATTTTCAAGTGAAGACAGGTATTTGAATAGATTCAGAGCTGAATGCTTATTTCTTCCTCTTGTGAGAGAAATTAGTAGCTGTCCCCTTTGAGACAAGGCATGCAGCCTATCTGCAGTGCTGCTTAGATATCAGAAAATGAAATAATTTACCTTGTGTTTCTGTCCTTACCCTCTGCCTGCCCACCTACAGTTGGCAGCTGTAACCTGTTACCTCTTCTGCAGGGGAAGAAAACAAAGCTTGTAATTTATTTATTTATTTATTTTGTGAGGGAGGGGCAACAATCTAAAATTAAAAGGATTCCTATATGGGGCACATTGTCTACATTCAATTCTTGCATTCCTTCAGTTCTTCTTCTGCTACAGCTGTATAATTCAATAAGTAGCTTGTATGGTAACTGTTGAGTCATGGCCTAAAAGCACTGATTGAGCACCTGGGGAAAGGACCCGGGAGCACAGCTGAAGGCAATTCAGCTGTGTGACTGGAAGGGGTGGGAGCCATTTAAGGGCTGGATCTGGAGATCCCTCCTTGGTGAAGCTTTCCCCTGCAAACCCAGCATTTTCTGATAGAGGTGAGCAATCTTCTTCCCTTCCTTTATAGTATCTTTCTATCTTGCTGGTCCTATCATCATCTCACTTTTGTTGAACTGCCTTCCCCATCATATTGATCTATCTTACTGCTATGTAGCTCTTTCAGAGTCTTGAGGTGTAGAGAGGCTACTGAACAATAGTTTATTTGTGGTTTTCAGTGATGTTTTATTCAGCTGTGTGCATGCTTACTGTTCTGTGTTGTGCAGAACTTGGAGAGCACTTGTGTCACAAAAGGTTCGTAATGCTTGAAGGTTCTGTGATATCCACGTTACTAAGTGGAAGTAAGTCAGGAGAGGACAGTGGCTAGTACTGATATCTAAGTAGAGGTGGCTTTTTTTTCACCTTGTTTGCCTTTTACTTTCTCATGTACTGGTAATTGCAGTGAAATGTGGAGAATCACCAATGACTCCCAGTCATCTGCTGCTGTGGATCTGAGGTTGAGGCTTAGCTGTGCTGCATCCACATGCAACAGGGCACCATTATTTTTAATAGTATGTCTTCTGTGTTTTTGTCTGTATCACTGCAGCATACCTGCTCAAGTGACAGTGCCAAAAAGACATTTGTTTCTACTACCATCGTGGGAGGGAAAGTTAAATGAGAGACTGTGATAATTTATCTGGACTGTAGCTCTAAGTTTTTATTATATAAAACTGCTATGGAATTTTAGGAGGCAATACTTTTAAATACTAAATGTACAGTTATTGACTCTGCTATGCTGTGAGGTTGAAGGAAGGTGTGAAGGGTTTGCACCAGTGGCATTTTCATCAGATTGCAAGTACTTCTCTTGAGCTTCAGTAATAATTAAACATCTTTTTTTAAAGTGCTCTCAAGAGGAGAAAGTTAGTCTTCTGTGAGTTCTCACTTCAGTAAATTAGAGAGTTCTCTTTTCTTGCTACAATTATTTCAACTTGAATAAATTGAGGAGTTCTTTTAAGACAAAGATCTCTCTTGAATTGCAAATATTAATTTTAAGGTTTTGATCAAGCAGGTCACCTGATGTCTGAGACATCCCCAGTAGAAGCCATGTCCCTGTTTGTCATTATATGCCGTGTATTGTGGCTATCATTCCTCTGGATTTCTTCACAAAAATAGGTCCTGTTGGCACCTACTTTAATTAAGCTTGTGACACTGGCAGAGATAACACCAGTTTGTATAGCTTGTTCTTTACTTTCCAGGCCTTCTTTATCAGAGTTAGCACAGGTACCATTCAGTACCCAGTAACAGGGTATGTAGGTGGAGGTATCTGGTTGCATTGGTACCCTCATACTCAAATGGAAGGCTGTAACTCAGACACAAGAAGTTTACTGTAGCTCTTATTGAAGTTCCAAGTGAGTTTCCTCATTGGACTCATGGAAAATACTCAGGCTATATTGAAAGAAGTTGAGCTGCTTGACTTGCTCCAAGCTGTCACACTGCCACCCTTTGTCATGGGTCAGGGTAAAACAAGCTGTGAGGCTTCTGTATAAAGGAAAAGTAGATCTTGGTAGCATTGTGAGGAGAATTTCTGTAGCATTTCCTTCACTGGAGGAAGCTACGAAATCTGACATGCCATTTAGCTATGATGCAGATATACTTACAGAGGAATATTTTGCTTCCTTTTTTGTTTGTGTCTCTTTCCAGATACTCTTCCCCCTCCCTCCCGAAATCTGCTGGTCTGTAGGACTAATACTTACATAGCTGTTTGTCTTATGGTATTAGTGGCTGTAAGGTAACTGAATTGTTTGATTTCCCTTTTCTGTTGGGGAAAAGATTGCAACCACACAGCACTCTTCACTGCTCAAGAGGCATTCAGTGATCAGAATTGAATCAACTCAAGTCAAGCCATCTTGAGGCTGAAACAAAAACTTTCCAGGACAAAAGTAACGAGAGGAAAGTTACTTGCTTTTAGTGCTGTATTTCCTCTGCTTGGTTCATTAAGCTAGAAATTGGTCAAAACAGACTCCTCTGGGGAAAAGGGGGGGGGGGGGAAGGGAAGGGAAGGGGATTTTGGAGCAAAATTAATTAGTTTTGTGAGGTTAAAAATGCACTTTTTTGCTTGGACTGAAATTGAATTTTTTTTTGGCCTTAAACCTACGCTACTTTTTATCAGATTTGTCATTAATTGTAGGAAATAGAAGTACAGGAGAGTGATGGAAGAATTTGTCATGTTTAATTTATTCACACCGTGACCCTTACAAGTTGTTGGTTTGCTTCATGAGATGCAGCAGGCTTATCTGAACATCACCTGAGAAACAGTGATGTCTGTATTGAGTTTGAGGAATTTGGGTAAATCATGCCTAAGGATATTCATAAGATGCTGAAAAAAACCTGATACTGTTGGTTTGTGTTCATGTTTGCTACTTTTTTGTAAAGGCTTTTGTAAAGCCTTTTTAAGCTGCAGGGTAGTTCAGAGAGAATCTTGATTTTTGTATGAACAATTTTGTGTGCAGTGATGCACTGTAGAATTAGCAAGAGCTCATAAATCTTCATCTAACCTTCATTCTGAAGCTGCTGCTTTGACACTTAAAATGGCTGGGTTTGATACTTTCCTTGGCTAGGATAAAGTGCAACTGCAAAATCAGATGAGGAAATCTTGTTAAAAAATGTTGTTGTTCTTGGGATGGATACCTTCAGAAAACTGTGACTGCCACACCGTTGCCCATCATGAAACTGGGTTACAGAGGAACTCACTGTGGCAATACCTCTGCTGCCCATTTAAAGCAGTTTGCCAGTTTCCAGTGGATGTAATGAAAACTCTGGCTGGAAGTCCCAAATAGCTTCAATTAATGATCACTCACATTTGCTATTGGTAGCATTGCTATGTATTTTTTAAATGAAGAATGAGGATGTACAGACCACATGATGCACAATGACATCAATGTAATGGTTCCCCACAAGGATATTGTTGAATTCTGAAGGCTACCTACAGTTCAGCATTAGTCTGATATTCAGGTTCCCTCTGAGAATAATTGAAATGTTGCTGTTATAGTCTCAATAGCAATGACACCGTTTGGATTTTTTGTGTGTATGTTGAAGGCTTAATTTTGCTTTTTTTTCGAGGACAACTTTTGAAGATTTCTGCCCACCAATACTTCTTATGACTCCAGTGGCATCTTAGCTATGTCCTACCCTGAACCCTCCAAACCTTTCCCCAGTATGTACATCTTGGTGTTGTGTGAGCTTTTCTCTCATGGCATTCTGCCAAAACTATAAATACAAGAATAATAGGGAAAATAAGCATCAGAGGTATTTGTCTCTTCAGACATTTTTATTCCCACTGGAGTCTCTAATTTAATTTTTCTTTCCTTTTTTTCCTTCTCTCACTGCTAATCTTTTCTTGTTGATTGATATGTTCATTATACTTCACTGAGACATTTTTCTCTCCTTTTTTCATTTTTTGTAGAGAACACTTTTGCTGCAGTCTCTTATTTCTCTGCTGCTGATGAACTCATTCATCCTCTCTCCATAACAAATGTTCTTTTAATATATTTAACTTTCATGGTGGAATCCATGCAGAAAAAGGCACCCCTTCCCCAGTCCCTTTTATTATCATACCTTTCAGATGATTTCTCAAGCCTAAGCACTTAAAAAATTCCTCCATCTAAAAATCATGTTCTGTGTATAGGTTTAGATGCAACTTTAGTCTGACAGAGTCTTCCTCTTTATGGTCTACCAGCAGATACCAAGGCTGCATTCTGAGACCAACCTGTCTGCATTACATGCATGCTGTGGGGAAAGCATTTCCCTTTTGCAGATGTGGAAGAATTGCAGTCCAGAATTCTCTGACTATCTTTCTTGTTACACAGTAACTAGTGCATCTACAAGCAATGCTATCTGGAAGTATGGGGCTTTCATTGGTGATTGTTCTCTTTTGCTGTTTAGCTTTCCAGAACTGCACGCATGAAATATACTACTTGTTTTTGTATTATAGGAGACCTAGTGCAGGATTTTATCTTCTGCAGGCCTATTGAGCCTGTCATCTGGGTCTAAACACAACTAGTAGCAGTGAGCAAACACCTTGTTCTGGGTTAGAGGGCTGGTTTTTGAGGTAGAGGTGTAATTAACTGACTTGGGGGAAAGGCTCCATCTCTACTGTGTAACTTCTAACTGCCTGAGCATCCTACAACTGTCTTCTGACACAAAGTGTGTATTCTCTGCAGTGCCAGCACCTTGCATGATAGTGCAGAAGGTATTTCACAATGTAGACCGACCGACTCACTGAAGCTTCACGCTACTGGCCCTGCTGGCCCTAATCCTTTATTGCTGTAGGCACCCATCTTGTCTTCAGGTTCCTTTGTCTGTTGAATTAAATTGCTATGGGAGCATGCTTTGAGTCTATAAGGAAATGGAGTTTGAATTGAGATGTGTACTGTGTAGGCGCTCCTTTGTTCTTGTTCTACTCACTGTGGTTGCAATGGGATTATTACTTATGCTAATTTAGAGCATTTGGC